TTGGGCTCTCTTGGGGGCATGGTGAGGCCTCCTGGGGGCCTTTTGGGGCGGAAGGCTCTAATTGTCAATTGTCGGTTCGTGTTCCCCCTCTTGGGCCCCTCTGGGAACCGTCTGTGGGCCTTCTTGGGCCTTCTTGGGCTCTTGGGCCGTCTTAGGGCGGTCTTGGGGGCCTCTGGGGCCATCCTGGAGCGTGGGAAGCGCGAAAACGCGAGAACGCGAAAATCAGAGAACAACACAAGGACACTCCATGATTGTTGCCGCTTTGGGCCCTCTTGGGGGTCCTCTTGGAGCGCTCTTGGCGCTTCCTTTGGGGCCTCTTAGGCCGTTTTGGGGCCATCTTGGGCGTCTTGGAGCGCTCCCGGGCTGTCGTGGAAATCTCTTGAGCGCTTCGTGGGCCCCTCTGGGCCCGTCTTGGGCACCCCCGGCCCCTGGGAAAGTAACTCGAGGCAGCCCAGGAGCGCTCGGGAGCGCCCAGGAACTTTGAGAATCTGGGGCCCCAGCCCTCAGAAGACTATGATCCTTTAGCCCACAGCACAGAGAATAGAGAATACATGAGAGCCTGGGGGTAACTCCACTTCGTGCCTCGAGGCACGGTGGCGGATGTATAGGTGCTGAGTTGCCAGAGAATCAGTGGAGCAAGCCTGACAGCATGTTCGACGCCTTGCAACATGCATGCCACATCCACGCAGTTGCTCAGAAACCCCGTCGCTCCCGAATGGCCAGCTACTGGACAAGAACTACGACTTACGTACACAGTGGGAAACATTGGCACAGTGTCAGACGTGATGTCGGCATTTAACTTCCAAGGTGCAGATGAAGAAGGGCTTGATGCTTTTGGAAGTTGGGTGAATATTCCTTGGCATTCTACTCAATCCCGCATTGACCTAAATGGTGTGGGATACGCTCAGACACCCATGTGTTTCGAGTCCGCATTTGGAGAGTTGGGGGGTGGTGGGGGATGTTGGCCATGTTGGGGGGGGGAATTCGCGACCCTGCAAGTTTGCCAGCTCCCAGGTCCCACTGCCAAGTCCCTAGCTTCGGAAGCGTAGAGCCCTCTGTCGGCGCTTCCCTGCCAAGCAGGGCGCCCAGACCCGCCCCGCGAATTATTCGACAGCTCGAGCGACCCCAGGCCCAGTATGCATCTTACGTCGCAGTGAGCACTGTTAATCCCCGCTGCTGCAGCCGCCGCTGCCGCTGTTAGGGGATATCCCCATTCAGCGCTTTTACATTTATATTTGACCGTCTCCTCGTCCTCCTCCTCCTCCACCATCCCTTTTTCCTTACAGCTAACTCCTTGTCGCACCTCAAGACGTGTCAGTAGGGCAGGTCAGGCGTTTCGCCTGAGTCTTCCCCACCATGTATGATCTTTACGGACGGAGCTTCTAACATACAGGAGCTTCACGGACGGAGGAATGGCCGTGTGTCAAATGCGGTTCTCGCTTAGACGCCGCGCAGATTCGTTTTAGAAGTTCGCAAGGGTTTCATGGATGTGGGGCAGGTCGTGTTCACAATGTGGCTCTCGCTTCCGCGCGGCGCACATTCGTTTCAAAAGGTTACACGAGTTTCACGGGTGGAGGGTGGTACCTTTTCAAGATGTCGTGCTTTAGCCCCCGCATTCCTATTTTAAGAGCGCGCAGCAGTTTCAAGGATTGTTATGGTTGACTTCATAGAATTTGTTTTCTGGCGCGCTGTAGTGCTGTCAGGGAGCGACAGTCACGCTGAGTCGCGGTGATGAAGTCCCAGGTGACAAAGCACGGTCCAGGGCCGTTAGGACGCAACGGTAGCGTTGGTTCACGGCGCTGAAGTCCCGGAAATGGAGGTCTGGCACGGATCAGGGTTGCCAGACGGTTGTGCTCCAACGGCGTTTTTTTTCTGCAGCGACAATGTACCCGAGTAGGGACTTATCAAGGAAGTTTGGAGGGAGGACTGATTGCATCATCGTGGATGAGTCTTGGGTTTGCACTGGTCCTCCTCCCATCGCCCCCTCCTCCTCATCACGTCTTCAGCATCAGTCCCTCCTCTCTCCTCTTCCATCCTATCCTCGTCCCTTCTCCCTCTTCCTGCCTCTATCCCTCCCTCTCCCCGCGCCTGGCCCTCCGCCCGGCAGGGGGCCAATCCCAGACCCCCTCGCGTCGTGACGAGAGGAAGTCGCGACGGCAGGCGTTCGGCCATTTCATCGGCCTCTCGGGGCCCTCGCCGGGCCCCAGGGCCCTCGGGACACGGCTCAGGACGCGACACCCGCCCCCCCCAGAGAGGGCATCCGCCTTCCGTGGAGGTGCTCGTTGCGGGCAAAAGCGCGACGTCGGCGGCCTGGGGAGGTCACGCTGCACGCTTGGGGGGCCTCGCCTGTCGCGCAAATAGATGTGATTTCTCGTGCCCGACGCGGGCTCGGTGCGGACTCGACGCGGTTTCGGCACGGAGTCAGCCCGGATTCGACACGGATTCGACCCGTCCGACGTCGATTCGACATGGATTCTACACGGATAGGGGCGCGACGGGACCCACGAGGTCACCCGAAGATGCACAACAGATTCGGCAGTCTGGGGCAGAGGTTGTTCCGCCTCGGGATGCTTTTCATCAGTTGCGCCGACCCTTCAAAGTCTACCGGCAATGTATCGCCGATTCCAGGTCGATTTTCCCCCCTAGGCTCGTCCCCCTGTCGATGCCCCTCAGGGTGGCCGACTGGAAGAGGTTCGCAGAGGGAGAGGAGGAGAAGGAGGAGGAGGAGGAGGAGGAGGAAGAGAAGGAGGAGGAGGAGGAAGAGGAGGAGGAGGAGGAGGAGGAAGAGGAGAGGAGGAGGAGGAGGGAGGAGGAGGAGGAGGAGGAGGAGGAGGAGGGGAGGAGGTGGAGGAGGAGAGGGGGAGGAGGAGGAGGAGGAGGAGGAGGAGGGAGGGAGGAGGGCGGAGGGGGGAGGGAGGAGGGGCGGGGGGAGGAGGAGGGAGGGGGAGGAGGGAGGAGGGAGGAGGGCGGAGGGAGGAGGGAGGAGGGAGGAGGGAGGAGGGAGGAGAGGAGGAGGGAGGAGGGAGGAGGAGGAGGGAGGGGAGGAGGGAGGAGGGAGGAGGAGGAGGAGGGAGGAGGGAGGGAGAGGAGGGGAGGAGGAGGAAGAGGAGGAGGAGCAGGAGGAGGAGGAGGAGGAGGAGGAGGAGGAGGAGAGGTTGTTCCGGCCTGGGATGCTTTCAAGCAGCCTCGCCTCGTCGAGAGCCTTCCGGGGCCGCGCCGCCGCCAGAGGCCCCACCTGCGGCCCAAGCGAGTCCAGGTCCTGAAGGTCGAGGCCATGGCGGCCATCCCCAGCGTTTCGGGCCCCTTCTGGGCCTCCCGGGGGGCTTCAGCCACGCGCAGAGGGGGGAATGGGGGGAGGGGGGAGGGCTTCTTAGAAGCACCCCTGCTTCTTAGAAGGCGCGGGCCTTATCGATAATTAGATGTAAGGCCGGCGCCGTCTGAGAAGCAGACTCCTTCTAAGAAGCTCCCCCCCCTCCCTCCACCCGCTTGTGCGCGCCGCCAAGGGCTTCTCGCCGCCACTTGGCATCGCTCAGACGTGTGGATATTTTTTCCTCGGCGGGGACCACCGAGGAGCATTCTGGGTCCTCCTGCGAAGCAAAAAAAGCGCACGAGACCAGAAAAATGCACGGGGAATAGACGTCCGAGCGATGGCGAGCAGCTGCCTCCGCGCTGACAAGAACGAGTCAAGATGGACCCCGGGAGGGAGGGGGCCCAGGTACTTTGAGCGGGTATTGGCCCGCCGGTACCTCCGCGGGCCTTTCTCCGAGAGGTGTTGCCGTGGAAGGCGCAGCCCGACGGGACCCACGTGGCGGCGCTGGACGACTCGCTCTTCGACGCCCTCGACGGGAACGAGCCAGGGAAGCGAAAACCACATCAGCGCCAGAGGTCGGAGGTGCACGCGGAGATCTCAAGTCGGTGCTGCGCCGAGCCGCGCCAGGGGCGGGCCCAGCTCCGATCCAAGAGCTCCGCACTTACCTCGGGGGTGGACAGAACCCCCAACAGTGACACTTCGATTAGTGAATTGTCCGTTTTCGGTTCTCGAGATGGCGCCGTGGCCGTTATTTTCCAGGCTTGCGCCCGCCAGGTTTGGGCCTCTGGTCGTTTTCACTAAACCACGTTTTACTAAAGGGGGTTCTGTCCATCCCCGATTACCTCCGACCCTTCGTGCCGGTGTTTTCTTTCCGTTTCCTTGACGAGAGCAGCCCGCGGTGCTCGTGGGCGGGAGACGTATCCGTATCCACGGCCTCGCGGGCCAGGCCCTTGGGGACGCGACCCCATGGCTGCGGGGTGTCCCTTGTTGGCGGGTGCCCCGCCCGGAAGGCATCCGTGCGACCGCGTACCCACGGAGTCGCGCCCCCGAATCGAGGCCGCAATGGCGTGAGTACGGATACTTAGGTGACGGCGGGTTCGGTAGCGTATCATGGGGGCCTGGTATACCCCCTTAATTCCGTCTTTAGCATCGGTTAGCATCTGGGAGTCCATGAGATAGCGCCGATTTGGCGTCGGGTAGCGTCGATTAGCGTAGGTTTAGCGTCGATGTAGCGTCGATTTTCGATTTAGCGTTGGTTAGCGTCGATTCGCAAGAGCCGACAAGATGGTATGGGAGTCTCTCATGAGTTGCCACCGAAAGCGGGGGGGGGCTAAGGGGATAAGGGAGCTGTAATTGGATGCGGAGGTACGTTGTATTTGACCTAATCTCTCTCATGAGTGGTCTGCAGATGCCCTAGGGGGGGAAGATCTGGTCAAAGTGAGCGGAGCCCACTTACCGGAGTTACCTCATCAGATTAAGCCACTTATTGAATTCTTAACGCGTTTATATGCTAGGCTTGGCCAGATATAACCCCTCCCTCTTAGATCCACTTACAACCTTTATACCCTTAGCAATCACTCCGATCATCCAAGTACGCTCGCCGCCCGTGAGGTACAACCCCTTCAGGGACCCCATCCAGCCGGGCGTCGGCTGCAGGTCGGTGACCACCGGGCAGGTCTACGCGAGCGGCATGCGCCTCGCCGAGCACGGCGACGCATCCAAGGTCGCTGGATGCACGGACAGCGTCGGCTGTTTCGCAGCCATGAGCGACGGCAAGGAGTTGGTTGCAAAGTGGCCGGCCAACATCAGCGCGTCAGACGTCGAGGCTCGAACAGGAAACACAAATCATAAACGTATTAGCAAGCGTGGACGCCAAGCAGTCCGTATTGCATTGTGGAGGTGAAGGCAAAGCGGTGTAAACCTTGTGGTGAAAGCTATGTTGTGCAGGCAATTTACCATGGCGCCAACATCGCGGAGCGGATTTCGTTTGGAAAACGATAGAATGGGCCCGGGGAGTCCTGGAGAATTTCGTTCCGGATTTCGAGGTGAATTTCGTGCGTATTTGTTCTGCCCGGAATGAAGACTAAAAACAATCCACGCGAAATTCATTTCGTTTTTTACGCGCCGTTTCGGGCAGCAATCCATGCAGAAATCCGCTGCAGCACATCTGCAAGGCCGGTGCAATGAAATGTATGAGCTACGGAGGTTGAAATTTGGCGGTGCAAGCTATGTGGTCTAAGCCATGCCGTCTAATCCTTTGGAAGGGGACGAAACCTCGCAGGGCCCACCCGGCGCCCGAGGCGGCCACCAGGCGACCACGAGCGGCAACGAGGCAAAACCTCGTTGGACCCATCCAGCCTTCTCGTGCTATTAGTAAAAAACAACATGTGCAAGTTCTGATTGAGAAGTATACTGTTGGATTGTCCGGACGAGTGTTAGCCCAGAGTGTGTGTTGCCCCAGTCGGCTCCGCAGGTAGCACGTTGACTCTGTCGGCCCTCATCGCGTTGACTGCGTCGCTTTGAAGTGCTCCTGTGGTCAAGCGCACGATGGCGCTAACACACGTTCTGAGGATCATGGGACGTTCGGATGTCCGTGCGGACTTCTTGGACTGGCGAAGTGCCCCTCTCCACGGCGCTCAGAGCGCGCCAGGGGCGGCGTCGGACTCGACGCCAGGGGAATCCAGCCCCGATCCGGGAAATCCGCGCGGACTTCCGAAAGTTTATGTTTTTTGTTCGTTGTTTCGTCCTCTACAGGTGACCGTGCGCTCGCGCGTCTTCGCGCCCCACCGGCGCGGCCTGGCCCACGTGGTGGTCCAGGCAGGGCCCACCTCGATGTGATCCTGTCGGCTTCTGTCCGATGCTTTTCCCGGGATCCCGTGTCGCCCGATGCTGCATGGCGTCGTTGCTGTGCATCTCGGCGCGGCGGAGTGGATTCCGACTCCACGCTGGCCGATGCATTCCGATTCGCTGCCCGCTCCGATCCGCAGCGATCCAGCAATTCGACCGCCTGACTGACCCCGGCTCCAGGGCTTCACGATGGAGCACGCCGCCAACCAGTGGATCGCGAATTTCTGGTTCCCGCAGAACGCCAAGTACGCACAGTCGGGCCTCCTCGGCACGCGGAGCGGCTACATGTGGACGATCCGCAACAATACCCTGCGCCATGCACAGACCATCGCTCTGGACATCTCGAGGAAGAGAAGGCTGCATGGAGAGAACTGTCAGTCGGGCACGCCCCTCTACGGGAAGAGTATTCAAGAATATTCCAAAAATACTCGGAGGGACGATGTTTTGACTAGTTGTCTTGACTCTCTCTCTCTCTCTCTCTCTCTCTCTCTCTCTCTCTTTCTATATATATATATATATGTGTGTTATTATTGCTAGTTTTAGTATTATTATTATTAGTATTTATAGTATTATTAGTAGTATTATTATTATATCATTATTTTTATTATTATCATTATTATTATTAATATTATTATGATTATTATTATCAGTATTATTATTATTAATAATATTATTAGTATTATTATTCGTATTATTATTATTACTAGATGTGTTTCTGGTATGTTTGATTTTTGGTCCAAAACCCGCACGTAGGGGGACATACCCGACCTAAGCATAACTGTTCCCAGCTCCGCGCGGATGTCTTGGCATCGTCGTTGGGCCCCCCCGGCGGCGCTTGTGGCCAGGGGAGGGGGCTCGACACCGAGGCAAGACATTTGCGCGGATCTCCGAAAGTCTATGCTCATGCCGTTGTCTGTTCCTCCTGACATCGGGACCGAGGGCGGGTACCCCGGCTCGTGGCCGCCTCCCGACAACGAGGGCACCATGCAGCCGACCCCGCATGTGACGGGCAGCCACACCGTCGAGCACAACGTGATCGAGCACAACGGCGCCAGCGGCATCCAGGGCTTCATGACCAACGGCACGGTCTCGTTCAACGTGCTCCGTCGCAATGGGTTTCTGGGTTGTGCTGGCGCGGAGAACGCGGTGAGCGGAGAGGGAGGACTGTCATGCTCATAGATTTTCGGAGGTCCGCTCGGATTTTCTGGATGGGCGTTGGTGGCGCCTCAGGCGCCGTCCCTAGCGCGTTCCGCGCGCAAGGGGGGGGGGGGGAGCTCCGATCCTCACACTTCGCGCGGTCCTCGTCTAGGTGATCAAGACGCACGGGTTCTCTGGGGTGATGGAGGGCAACGTGATCGTGGACAACCCCCAGATGCCTGTCTGGTTCGACGGCGGGTGGCACGACATGCGCTTCACCAGAAACGCCATCCTGTGGAACGGAGCGGGCTCTCCTGGCGTCGACTTCGAGCTCTCGGACGGGCCCGCCCTGTTCGACAACAACATCGTCATCTCCTCGCCCTCCTCCTCCTCGTCCCCAGACCCCCGACGTCGTGATCTCTTCACGGCGCGGGCCCCCAGAGGTCTGGACCCCTTCCCCCGGACCGGCTGTTCGCCCCCCGCTCCGTTGTTGCTGCCGGTCCTCGGGGCCCGGCGAGGGACCCGAGCGGCCGAAGACGGCGAACAGCAGAGTCGTCAGGATTTGTTCCACGGCGCGGGGGGTCTGGGTCCTCGTCGCCACCATCCTCCCCCGACGCCTCCGACGGCGACCTCGGCGTGGGCGCGGGGGGCGGCACCGGGGTGGTTGGCATGGACGCGAGCGGCGTGACGGCCACCCACAACCTGCTTCTCAACTTCGAAGCTTCGGGGGACGCCAGCTGACCGCTCCACCGATCGCCAGAACCCCTCGCGTCTTGAGAAAGTACGGCGGGAGGTCGTGCTTTAGGAGGGTAAAAGAACACATAGATTTAATGAAGTGTTGACTCTCTGGAGAATGTGGGTAATTAAGGGAAGTGTGGGGAAGATGAAAATTAAGAAAAAATGAAAACAGAGTGGGAGTCCTGGGATTTGTGTGCATTGATTTGTGGGCCCCTGGGCCCCCCCCTACGCCTCATCTGCTGCTGCCTCTCAGCCTCTGGGGGCCCTTGCCGGGCCTGGCGGCCGTCAGTCAAGGGAGGAAAAACCACCCGGACCGGACAATTGGCGTTTACTAAATGGCCTTGGGCATTTATGAAACAGCCCTGCCATGTTCGATTCCTTCAGTGGGGGAGCGTTTACTAAACGACTTCGCGTGTCGGTGTGGTTATTATTGGGGGTGATTTTTTGCCCTCCAGTCAGACATAGACCCGCAGGGTTGAAAGGCCGGTCCCACGCCCGTGCTGGCGGGCATGCTGCGCGACCCCTCTCGGGAGACCTCGGGGGGAGCCCAGCGGGGCTGCTGCGACCCCGCGCTGGCCCCGTGAGCCCGCGGGGCTGCGCAGGGCCAGCCCCGCGGGAGTGAGCCGAGGCCTCCGAGGGTCGACGTGGTCGGCGGGTCAAAGGTAGCCAGGCGATCGCAAACATGGATTCAGGGGTCGTGGATTAGCGACGGGTCCCGTTTCCATGGGAAATCGCGAACTTCCGCCGCCGAACGCGGCGGCAGCGGCCGCATTTTGGGGAGGGCACCTCCCCCGATCCATGGATTTGGCGACCGCGCGCCAGATCCATGGATCGCTAATCCATGTTTGCGCGCCCCCAAGATAGGGGCCCTGAGGAACGGGTCCTCAGGACGAGGTGCCTCAAGCAGTGCAAGGTCACCATTGGACCCTCTCTTATCCGGTAGCAGATCATGGGAGCCTTGTGTACCCTCGCGATTATGTCTCTAGCGACGACTGGCGTCGATTAGCGTCTGGGAGGCAATGAGATAGCGCCGATTTTGCGTCGGCTGGCGCCGATTCGCGTCGATTGAGCGTCGATTAGCGTCGATCTAGCGTCGATTCGCAAGAGCCGACAAGATGGTATGGGAGGCTCCCGCAAGTTGCCACCGAATTCTGATCCTTGGGACCCCATCCCTCAGGACCCGATCTTTGAACCACCGTCGTAGGGACCAAACCCCTTGCCGTCGGGGGCCACGGGCCCCGCGGCCGCGCCCCTCCATGGCCCCCCGGGATCGGTGCACATGGCGTATTGCCCCGGCCCCTGCCGAGGAAGGCCGTGTGCACAGACCGTGCTTTCCCCGCCTGTGCCCAGCCGCAGGATCGCTGAGAAGTGCAGTGGGGCCCATGCCAAGAAACACCATGCTTGCCTCCCGGGTGCCCTGGGTTTCTTGGGTTTCGATGGTTCTGCTACGGAAAGCGGGACGTTTTCACACCAACAAAAATCAGTGGACGTCTTGGGGTCTCAGGGTTGGGCTTCCTGTGGGAGGTTTCTTGTGGATTGGCTTCCACTGCACTTATCTAGGCCTCCCAGATGGAGCTCCGAGTAGCTGGGGTCGAAGGATCGCGCCGCATCGCCAATGTATCGACGAGGCGTCTCGATGCGGAGACCGTGCTTCCCCACGCCGATCTCGCCGGTGCATCGCCGACGTCGCCGATCCATCGCCAGTACGTCGCCGATACATCGGCGATGCCTTGGCGATGCGGCGCGATCCTCAGAGCGTGAATTACCTACCCCGCTTTCGCTTCCAGGCAAAACCAAGTCATACCACGCGCCTCCTCGTCAAGCGGCCTGACCAGTACATGCCGTGGTTTGGCATCGCTTGGTATCTCTTGGAAGCGAGGGTGGTCAAAAGCGAGGTAGGTTTGTTTGCCCCCTAGATTCTCCGACCCCGTCTAAGAGGCCTCTCACTTCCTGTTCCGAATAGAGAGAGAGAGAGAGAGAGAGAGAGAGAGAGAGCTGGCGCCCTTCTCGTGCGTGTGCCTCGTGCGGGGGAGGCTGTGCGCCTCGTGCGGGGCTCTTGTGCATGCCCTCTGGGTTGGATCTGCGCGCGCGCGTGCGCACGCAGGAGGAGGGAGGGGGCGCAGAGCAAGCACCCATGGAGGAGCAAGGAGGGGAAAGAAGGAGGAGAGGGACGAGAAGGAGAAGGAGGAGGAGGAGGAGGAGGAGGAGGAAGAGGAGGAGGAGGAGGAGGAGGAGGAGGAGAGGGGGTCATGGCCACGGGAGCAGGGGCCGTGGCCACGGCCCTCTTGCGCAAAACCCCTTGCGCGCACTGTGCGCCGACACTCTTCGCTCTGCCACTCCTTCTGTTAAACATGAGAACCAGGGTTCGCTCACCAGGCGTCGGTTCATCAGCACCTAACACCATGCTCGCGCATGCAAGAAATCAAGGGCAGCCACTTCCAGGAATCCAGCACCCGGTCAATTCACCATGCCTCATGCCCAGGCGTCCCAGATGGGGTCCGAGTGGATGGGGTCGGAGGGTCGCACCGCATCGCCGACGCGGCGCGATCTGGAGGCCGATGCTCTCCATGCCAGCGTCGCCGATGCGTCGCCGGCGTCGCTGGTGCACCGCCGGTGCGTCGCCGAGGCATCGGCGATGCGGCGCGGTGCTCCGACCCCACGCCTCTCGCGTGGTCGGGCCCCTCCTGCTGTAGCGGCCGGTGGGTGCCGTGGCCGGCGGGCGCGCCCCGGGATCCGGCGCGTTCACGATCTTCGCGCTCACGGGGAGGGCCTGCGGCGGCCACACCTGCGGCCTGCGCGGGTGGAGCGCGGAGGCGAACCTGCTGCTCACGGGGGCGGCGGCCCCGTGGCTCCGCATGCACACCCATGGCAGAAGGGGAGGCGGACCTCGGCGGCAGGTCGTGGCCTTCTGGCTCCGTCTCTGGCGTCGGCTCGCGCCGATGGGCGTCTTGGAATCGAGGAGGCAGCGCCGATTCAGCGTCGGTGGGCGTCGATTCGGCGTCGGCCAGCGTCGATTTGGCGCCGATTTGGCGTCGGCCAGCGTCGATTCGCAAGAGCCGGCTAGATGGTCATGGGAGGCTCCCATGCATTGCAGCCGATTTTTTCGAAGGTGATTTCTCGGAGCGGCGCTGGGCCCCCCTGGCAGCGCCCGAGGTGCCGACCCTGGCGCGCGCTCCGCGCGCCAGGGAGGCGGGGGCCCAGCGCCGATCCGAGAAGGTCGCGCAGGCATCCGAACGTTTCGGCTCAGGCTGGGCGTTCGATCACGGACCCCTTGCCGAACGCAGGCATCGAAGGCCGTCAGAAGGCCGTCAGGAGCGGCCGAAGACCGTCAGAGGACCTGGAGATGTGCGCGCCGCCAACAGGAGGAGGAGGAGGAGGAGGAGGAGGAGGAGGAGGAGGAGGAGGAGGAGGAGGAGGATCGGAGGATCGGAGGAAGGCCAGCTGAGACAATCGCGACCCTCCCGCCCAGACCGAATCCGCTCAAGTTCGTCGCCCCGACCCCTCCTGGGGTCCAACCTGGCCCTACCCCGAGGCGAATGCAGCCGTGGCGACGAGAAGCCCCCGGGAGGCCGAGAGGGGATGAACAGCGCTTGCGTTCGCGCCGAAGACGGCCGAAGGCCGTCGGAAGCAGCCGAGGACAGGCCGACGACCGCCGAGGGCCTCCAAAAAAGCCGCCTGAGTCACGAGGAGCTCGGGGAAGAGGAGGAGGATAAGGCGGACGGCCAAGGAGGAGGAGTAGGAGGAGGAGGAGGAGGAGGAGGAGGAGGAGGATCGAGGAAGAGGAAGAGGAGGAGAAGGAGGAGGAGGAGGACAGCCGAGGAGGAGGAGGATCGGGGAAGAGGAGGAGGAGGAGGAGGAGGAGGATAAGAATGAGGACGGCCGAGGAGGAGGAGCATCGGGGAAGAGGAGGAGGAGGAGGGAGGAGGAGGAGGAGGAGGAGGAGGAGGAGGAGATTGAGGAGGACGGCCGAGGAGGAGGAGGAGGAGAATTGGGGAAAGAGGAGGAGGAGGAAAAGGAGGAGGTGGAGAAAGGGGAGGAGGAGGCGGACGGCCGAGGAGGAGGGAGGAGGATCGGGGAGGAGGCGGAGGAGGAGGAGGAGGATCGGGGAGGAGGAGGAGGAGGAGGAGGAGG